AAAAAAAAAACAAACAAAAAAAAGTACCTGGTCTGGAAAGATGGCTTATCAGTTGAAGCACTTACTACTTTTACCAGAGGACCATTGTTCAAATCCACATCCGGTGGCTGCAAGGGATCTAACATCCCCTGTGGTGGTATTGTGTTCCCCAAAATATTGTGCACCCTAATAAACTTATCTGGGGTCAGAGACAGAACAGCCACTAGATACAAAGGCTAGAAAATGGTGGCACTCATGCCTTTAATCCTAGCATATCAGAGATAGAAATCCCTCTGGATCTCTGTGAGTTCAAGGCCACATTGGAAAAGGCCAGGCATGGTGACACACGCCTTTAATCCCAGAAAGCGAGCCTTTAATCCCAGGGAGTGATGGTAGAAAGCAGAAAGGTATATAAGGCTTGAGGACCAGAAACTAGAAGCATTTGGCTGGTTAAGCATTTGGCCTGGCTAAGCTTTCAGGCTTTGGAGCATCAATTCAGCTGAGACCCATTCTGAATGAGGACTCAGAAGCCTCCAGTCTGAGGAAACAAGACCAACTGAGGATCCGGCGAGGTGAGGTAGCTGTGGCTTGTTCTGTCTCTCTGATTTTCCAGCGTTCACCCCAATAACTGGCCTCAGGTTTGATTTTATTAATAAGAACTTTTAAGATTCCTGCTACAATCCCCTTCTAGCCTCTGTGGGCACCTGCATACACATGCACGTCCTTCATACACACATAAATAAAGTAAAACAACACTTTCAAAAGGACTTACTCAGGTGATGACGTAGGCTGGCAGGATGTCTTACTGCAGTTCAGGCTGGTCCGGAACTCACTGTGTAGCCAGGTTAGTCTCAAACTTGAGGCGATCCTTCTGCCTCTGAAGAGCTAGATGTGAGTCACACATCCAGCCTGTTCTGACATGTTTCTATGCTTGGTTGATTTGCTTTGTTTTTTTTTTTTTTTGAGACAGGGGTGTTTTGTGGCCCAGACTGGTCTCAAATTCTCTATGTAGCTAAAAATGACCTTGAAGCCCTGGTCCTTCTAAGACAGACAAGTTTATAGGTCATAGTTTAGCAACCTAGGACACCGTGTGGTTTGGACTATTCCCCTGTTGTAACAATTCACTTGGCAACTTTGCATCCCCACCTGCATGTATTGTACACACATGCCCTGTCCTGACAATACATTTAACAACCGAGGACCCTCCCCTGCATTGGGCAGCACTCTGAACAATGGCCTAAGTTTCTCTGCTCCTGAACTCTCCTAACGTTAACCCCAAAGATGCAGGGAGAAAAATCATTGACCTCAATCTTTTGGCCAAATTAATTAAGGCAAGCAATTAATTAAAGCAAGCTTTTTTATTCATGTACACAGGCTGCCTCTCCCGAAGACAGGGTTCAAGAGGGTAGCCCTGGACGTGAGGAAAACAAGGCTTATATAATAAGCCCAGGGGAAAGGGGGCTTCCAAACGGGGACTTTGGCAGGAAAATAGGCAGAGTTACAGCAGCAGAACCTAATAAGGTGGTCATAACAACAGGTGGTCATAACAACCTTTTGAAACAAAGGTAGGGTTGCAAGATGATCATAACAGCTGTTTGAAGCTAAGACATGGTTGCCGTTTCCTGGAACAGGCAGTACAGAACCGTGTGTAGTTAAGGTTACAGGTGGGGCATAGTCCAATCCTTGAGAAACAGATTCAGTCATAAACAGGAATGAACCTCGTGTGTCTTTACTATAAAAGGGCTTTTAAAAAAAATGGCTTTCAAGCCTAAGACGGACCAGACATATTGGTAGCAAGGGAGCTGATCTTGCCTGAACTAGTTTTGGGCTCATTCACAAGGCAACTGTGACCATTTGGTGAACTTTTAGGGAGACTCTTCTATTCACCATCTTATAACTATGCATAAGAGGTATAAGATAATTTTTAAAAATTATGCATTGATGATTGTTTTCAAAAGATGCATCATGGGAACAGGCATATTCTGTCAATCAAAATAGAGACCTGCCCTATTTTGCTTCTTAGCAGCTTAACCCCTCCTTCCCTAAGAACACCCTGAAAGAAGCCCCTGATGATAACTTCAAGCCCTAGAGTGGTCTTTTGCTCTAATGACCGCCATAGCTTAGCCGCCTGCACTATCGTTCTGCTTTTGAATAGTTTCCTTAATGCTTTGCAATCTGTGTCCAGCTTTATTTTATTCCAATTTTACTGTATGTGCTGCTGAAGTAAATGCTCGCCTTTATTTCAGTTATATGAACAAGATGTCATGATACTGGAAACACACCCAATCCAGACCTGACCGACCACCATTAACACTCCACTCCCGTTCTCCCAAATTCTGGGATCACAGGCATGGACCGCCTCTCCAATTTCCAGCGTGCTTTGCTTGCAGCTAGCACTTAAAATATAGTGGTGGACTTGGACGACTCAAGGATGGATGTTCTCTTTTAACTTCTGAGGTGAGAGACGTGATTTCACAAGCAAACACTTCTGCTGGAAGCCGGAGGGTTAAATCCAGAGAAGTTCTGAATGACTTAGTCAGGGCCAGTTTCCTGGAAAGTGATGAAACAGAAAGCAAACAGAGGAACAGAAAAGGGGTAAGAATGGAGTTTCTGTCTGGGTTTGCCCTGCCAGCTTCCAGTACGTGTCCAGTTCTCCTCTGTGTGAAGTCTGGAAGGAAGTGTCATGTAGGTTGGGTTAGATTGGGCAGCCCCACCCAGTGGGGCTTAATTGATGATACCAGGTCATCTTACTACTAACCGAACGTTTCCAGAGATGGGAGCTACAGGTTCTCTGTTGTCTGCCTTACAAGGATGGAAACCCCCTCCCCCTTGGCTTGGGCCCTTGCTGGTGACTAACACGTGACCTTTTGACCTCTGGAGGCCAGGATTTCTAACTTAAGAGTGCTAAGGACACCACTCCAGTCACATTTCTCCATACCTCAGACCACATGAATGCCCCAAATCCTCTCCCCGGGGAGACATATTTGAAACTTGGAAGCGCCTGCTTCCTGGTGTGGCTGCTCGTGAATAAAGTCCTTTGCAAAACTTGGTGTTTCAGTGATTGGTACGTGTTTGGTGGGCAAAATGGGCCACATTGAGTAACTCTTAGAAAACCATACACACCAGCTCTGGGGTGTTACTAATACCCACAATCCTTTCCTGGATCCTAGAAAAACAAACAGCTCTCTGCTTTCCATGTGACAGTCAGCTCTCAGTCTTCCAATTGGAAGACCCAACCCATGCCACCCTGTAACACAGATGGGTGAGCCTTACACACACACACACACACACACACACACACACACACACACACACACATACACTTCTAAAATGCCTCCAATTTATCCCTCACATCTTAGTCACCATGAGGAACTGAAGGCTGATCATTCTTACTCTAGAGCCTTGGCCTGTGTTCTCTCTCTCTCTCCGACCACTCCCAAATTAACTCTGTAGACCAGGCTGGCCTCGAACTCACAGAGATCCACCTGCCTCTGCCTCCTGAGGACTGGGATTAAAGGCCTGTGTCCCCATGCCCAGCAACTATGTGCAATTAAAAAAAAATAGATTTATTGATTTTGAGAGTGTTTGCCTGCATGTGTGTGCACCACACACATATGCCTGGTGCCCACAGAGGTCGGAGAAGAGTGTTGGATTCCCTGAAACTTATGAAGGTTTGTGAGCCTGGGTGCTGGGATTTGAACTTGGGTCCTCTGCTGGAGCAGCAAGTACTTTTAACCACTGTGCCATTTTCCCAACCCCTTGTGTCCAGATTTCACACTCAGGTAATAATAAGCTGCACGTCTTTGCTGCTCCGCTTGAAAGGGCAGGCCGCCTGCGTCTCAGACGACACCACAAACACCCACAAGCACACACATAAGGCGGGGGCTGCCTTTCCCCTGCGTTCTCCCCCATCCCTTCCTACCCACCTGAAAAGGCAGCTGACTGAAGGCCGACAGGAAGGAGGTGAAGAAAGCCTCCCCTTCCCAGAAGCCCGAGCACTGTAGCAAACGCTGCCTCTGGCTGGGGGGGGGGGGGGCTTTCACTCCCACCCCAGCCAAGCGTAGAGCGCCCCACCCCCACCCCCTAACTTTTTAAAACCCTCTTTTCCTGTCTGGAGGAAACCTAGATCCCCATCCTGGGAGGGGCTGGCGACAATTAACAAAGGCACCATGGAGTAAAGACAATTAACAATCCAGAAAAGAGGGGAAAGAGAGGCTTTGTTCCGGTCGCCATGGCAACGGGGGAGGGGGTGGCGAGGGAGGAGGAGGAGGAGTAGGGGCCATCCAGAGAGGCTGATCCTTTCACTTTCTTTTCAATCCCCCCCCCTTCTCACACCACTTTGGGTGTCTGCCAGGGAGACCGGGAGATCCTGGAGCGAACAAGGGCTAGGACTGGCCGAGTCTCAAGAGATCTGAGGAGAGTGACTCCAAGGCTTGGTCCCTAAGAGCCCTCGGGGGAGTTAGGGAAGGCCAAACCAAGGCAACTGAAGGAAGGGCTGGCTCACTTTGTCCTGAGAACTGCGCCTGGATGGACAAACCTACTCTGGACGGACAGCGCCTGGTCACGGCCAGCTTGACGGCCCTGGCTGCCTTCTTGGTTGGAGGATGAGGCAGTGGGGCGTGGAGGTGGGCAGCTACAGAGCTTGCAGGGCCCACAGCAAAAGGAAGGGTAGAGTCCTTGCATCAGGAATGGTGACAGCCAAGTGTTAATCAAAGGTTTCCCAGTGGCAAAGCCAACTCTCCAAGAGGCTGCCTGGGGCCTGAGCTCTCTTGGCCTACTTGCGTTCTGTTTTGACATCTCACTCAGCTCCTACAGTTCCCTCACTGATTTCTGTCACGAGGGTGGACGGGATGCCTTCCTTCCCACTCAAGACCGTGACACTTCTCTGCTTTCTTGTAGGGCAAGTCTTCTCACACTCTTTTTTTCTGGTCATACCCGCTTGCCCTGCACCTCTGCTTGGTTGCAAATGTCATCAGCCTTTTCGGGGCCACACTCACCCTGGCCCCCACACTCTCCTGAGTATTTCACAGGTCCATTCACAGGGGCCCTCCATATATGTCAGCCTCTGCACCAGCTTCGAGGACACCAACCAGGAAAGGTTGAGAAGGCCAATGGACTCATCAAACCACAGCTCACTAAGCTCGCCATTGAACTCGGGTTATCTTGGCCCTCCTTCTCCTCATTGCCCTTACCCGCCTCCTGGACACCCCGTGCTCTCCTACAGGTTTGAGCCCGTTTGAGCTCCTTTACGGAAGGCCCTTCCTCCCCAGTCACCACCTCCCAGCCCAAACTCCCCCACTGGCTGGGTACCTCCCCTACCCCTCTCTTCTGAGGTCCCGTGTCCGTCTCCCTTCATACTGTGATCCTCACCACCCCCTCCGCTGCCAAGCTCCTGGGACATCCATTCTGGTACCATCTCTCCAGGCTCAGGCGGGCACCTATTCAGGATACATGGTCTGTCCAGCAGCTGGGACCCTCCTCCACCTTCTGGTTTTACAAGATATCCCACTAAAGGGCCTGTCTGCCCTTCTGCATTCATCTTTACAGTACAACTAGGGCAGATGTTAATGATCTTTTTTTCCCTAGAAACTTGTCTTCTTTGGTTCCTCAAGAAACAGATGGATGACAATGAACTGGATGCTTCTCCACTCACACCTCCCGCTGAATGTGAGCTCACCAATTCCCGACTCCTCTTTCCCACTTCTCCCTGTGCCCGCAGGAAGTAGCCAAACTTGAACTGGCGTCCCTACACCCAAAGAGACTAGAATGCTTGGGTGGGAGCTCCACCTCAACCCCTGGCACCCTGGCACCCTGGCATCCCTGTACCCAAAGAGTCTGGAATGTTTGGAAGGAGTCTGGTGGAAGATCCACCTCAACTGCCCTCCCCATCTCTTTCCCTAAACCCGCCCCTTCAAAGCCCACCAAACACAGCTCCTCCCCAAGAGGGGCGCAAGATCACGCCCACAGGGTATGTAAGCTACTTCCCCAAAAACAGTCTCATGGTTCTCCCGGTCTCACGTCCCAGTCTCCTCTCTGAGGGGCCGGGGAATCACCTGAGCATGCTTTACCCATTAAACCTGGGCTTTTCCTCATTCCGTCTGATTCGGTGTGCTGCACTAGCGGAGAGGCCTTCAGGGCGAAAAAAACTATCACTTAAGTCTGGGGGGGGGACGGACGACATAGATGGGACACTACTTTGGGGCAGGTCTCTTCTCCATGGATGGACTCAATATGGAGTTCATCCTGATCTCACCCTTGCGATGCTCTTCCTGCTTCCATCTCTAGAGTGCCGGAAGTACCGTTGTGAGCCACGGATCCAAGCTGGCCCTTTGGGTTTCGGTCTCCTCAACCACTGAGGAGCCTGAACAACACAATCCTTGGCTGACCTCCCTCGGGAGAGTCTGTGCTTCTTCTCCAAGGAGAAAAGAATTTTCACTTCTGGTCATGTGCTAACATGCTTATGGTTTGAGTGTCTGTGCCCCCACCCCGTCCTTCGATACCCAACTTCACACGCTGAACGCTGCAAGAGGATTGCACGCCGCCGAGGCAGGGACTTGGGTGGCTAACCGTGTTGTAAGGGTTGAGCCGTCGTGAATGGGGCGGCACCCTGGTTAAAGAGTCTTCCAAGTGTCTCTTTGCCCCTCCCACGATGTCAGGACACACAGAAGACGCCGTCTTTGAGGAATGAACCCTTACCGGATTCCTACTTTGCTGCTACCTAGATGTTGGACTTCCTTCCCATCTCTTAGAATTGCATACAATGAAGTTTGTTGTTGTTTGTTTGGTTTGGGTTTTTCAAGACAGGGTTTCTCTTCTCTGGATAGCCCTGTTTGTCCTGGAAGACAACTGTCTCTGTAGACCAGGCTGGCCTCAAACTCAAGAACTTTTGTTGTTTATAAATTACCTAGTCTGTGGAATTTTGTTCCAGCATCCCAGACAGATTGACACATCTGCTTTAGAACAAGAGAAAAAAATCCATTCATAAGAACGATATGTCCCATCCGGGTGGCAGCGGCGCACGCCTTTAATCCCAGCACTCAGTAGGCAGAGGCAGGTGGATCTCGGAGTCTGAGGCCAGCCTGGTCTACCGAGAGAGTTACAGGACAGCCAGGGCTACACAGAGAAACCCTGTCTTGAAAAAACTAAAAAAAAAAGCCATTTTCTAATGGCCAGTGGTGACCAGGCCCACTGGAGAAGAGAGTGAGGTACGATCCCCAAACTGTGGAGATCATATTTCCTCAGAAGGCACCTTGGGCCTTGTGAGATGTTCCTGTTCAGAGAAGTTTCTTGACAATCCGAGGCCACCAGTCCTGACCTCATGGACACAGTAAGAGAACTGTGGCCAGGACCTACCCTGCTGTCTGCAGTTTTAACATCATAAGGGAAGATGGGTTAGGACACCATGGCCTTGGGCCTCTAAGGGCCTCTGCCATGTGGGCCCAAGTGAAATGAATAAAATGTATCAAAAACTAAAACCAGAGACTGAAAGTCAATTGCATCAGAACCTCAAATCATTCCAGGCACAGTGGCACATGCCTTTAATCCCATACCTCAGGAAGCAGAAGCAGAAAGATCTCTGTGAGTTCAAGGCCAGCCTGTTCTACATAGCAAGTTCCAGGACAGCCAGGGCTACATATCTAGACACTGACTCTCAAGTGCTGGGATTAAAGGCGAGTGTCACCATACAGGCAGGGGTTTACAGGAACGATTTAGTTAAAATATGGCCACCAGAGCAAGCCTACATTACTTCAGTTTGACCGGTGTCTTTATGAAACCAGGGTATTTGGATCCAGGACCACAGAGGAGGCCGATACTGTATAGAGTCAGAGGGCCATCCTCAAGTGCTAGAGAGAACCTGAGACACATCCTCCCTCAGAGCCTCAAAAGGAACCAGTGTCCCTCTCCCCTGGACCATGATTTCCAGCCTCCGGAGCTGGGAGTCAACTAACCTGTGCAGGCTCCTCACCCTGTGGTGCCTTGTTCAGGGAGCCTTGGCAAATCATTGGAGATGCTCAGAGGCTCCTCGCTGTGTGCGTGGGCTGCCTCCACCAAGGCTTTGTCGGAGGGAGCCTGGGCTTGTGGACTTGCAATGCCGCATTACATTAACATCAAAGGACATCGATCTATTACCCTGTTACTCTCCCCTGTAGCCCGGTCTTTTGATATATACGTATACACACACACACATACATGTGAGTACATACATTGTTTTTCCTTCCTTCTTTACTTTTGTTTTTTTGAGACAGCGTCTCATGTGACCCAGTTTAGCCAGGAACTGGATTTGTGACTGAGGATGACCACGAGCTCCTCATCTGCCTGCCTCTACCTCCCAAGTGCTCAGATTATAGATGTGTGCCACCACACCTGCTGGAGATTTCGTGGCTTCTGCTAGCCTTTTAATGCATTTTATTGTTTTCATCTCTTTAGTCTTTTATTGTTCTGGTTTTAATGATTTTACTTATCTCTGACGTTTTTAATCTGTTTTGTCTTTCTTCTAGCTATTTTATGTATTCCCTTTTATCTCATCTTATCTTTTAGATTTATTGTTATTATATTATCTCTTTTCTCACGGTCTTTTATTTCCAACCCTTGCCTTATCGTGCCTTTGTTCTATCTTTTAATTTCTTTTTTAGTCTATTTGGCTTATTTTTAGTTCCTTCTTTATTATCTGCTGTCCCCTTTCCCCTTTAACTGTTCTTAACCATCTTTTTATTTCTTTCTAGTTTATCTTTTTATTGTCTGTTGTATTATCTTCCATTCTTAACTGTTTTCAATTCTCTCGGCTTATTAAATGTGGAGGATGGAAACACAGCCCTCGGGAGAAGCTTCTAGGCTAGCCCAGATGCCACAGGGGGAAAGCTGCATGCAATCTGCTTTTCCCAGCTGCCTCTGCAGCAACCCCTAATACCCCATTGGCCTCAAAGCTGGCCTCTCCCTCCTGTGAGATCTAGACTGTGTAACACAGGACACGAAGGGAGAAAATTCCCTCTGGAAGACACTAGGCTTGCTTATAGTACTGCACAGTAGAATTGCTACCTGGATGCTAGGCACAAACACATGCTGGTAATCTCCTTGAGAGGTAGAGACAGAAGTTCAAGACCCACCAATCTCAGTTAGGCAACACGTTGTCTCAAAAACACAAACAAAACCCTGTCAATACTGGTCATGACTCATGCCTAAAATCTCAGCATTTGGGAAACCGAGGCAGGATGAAGATGGCAGCAAATTGGAGTCCAGCCTGCTCTACACAGTGCAGGTTAGCTCAGGCTACCGAGAGATCCTGTTCCTAAACTGAACAAATATCTGTTAAATTGGCCCAGCTCTCTCCTATCACAAGCCATCAAAGGCCTCAGTATCCGAGGGCCTAGACTGTAGCTTGGTGGTGGGACATTTGCCTGGCAAGTATGAGACCCTGGATTTGGTCTCCAGCAGCGCATAATAATAAACAGTTACAGTCTCGTAAAAACTTATGTACCTGATTATGTTACCAACGTTTTGCCTTTCTTCCAGGCAAGATTGTGTGTGTGTGTGGGGGGGGGGTATCAAATATTGCTTGTTATCGCTGGTATCAATTTTTCCCTTCTTATAAGCAATATAAGTTTAGCTAAGAAAATGCCTACCAATTAGAAGATTGCATTACTTAGAAGATTGCATTACTCAGCCCCTCCTTGCTGCTGAGGATGGGCAAAAGCCTGGAATCTGCCCTAGGCAAAAGATGCACACAGCTTCCTGGTTCAGCCTAGTAAATCTGAGAGATGCACACTTCCTGGTTCTGCCCCTTGCAAGACCTGCACAGAGTGGCACATGCAACTTCCTGGTCATGTCTCACAAAAGAAGCGGGAGGGGGTGCGCATTCTCCCTTCTCCTTTCCTGTTGCTGGCTAGGATGTAGGCATGGTGGCCTGAGCTATGGCAGTCTTTCCAGCCCTTGAGATAAAAGAAGGGGAGTGAACATCAGCGAGGAGTCTGGCTGGGGCCCTGCTACCAGGGAGCCCCCATAAAGCCCTGCAATGCTTGCTCCTCAATAACCACATGAGAGACAATAAACTGAAGTTGTGTAAGCCTGTGTGACAGTGGCTTTTGTTCCAGCCGGGGAATCAATTCTCTCAGGCACGTAGTTCTCCCCCTAAAAGCTTCCAAAATTTTAAGAGCCAAGGAGTGGCCAGCCTGGCATCATATCACCCTGAAAACTTATAGAAAATGATTAGATCTGTCCCTACTGGGTTACCGTAGGCAAGGAGAGCTCTCTGTTGTCATTGGCGTGACTAATGTAACGGGGTGGGT